GTTCCAAGCTTCTAATCATGGCTTGGTCTTTCTAGTGAGCAGTCCCCATCCAGAAGCCCACTAAGAGCCACCTCATTAGAACAAAAGAAACTCCTGTCACCTGGGAAATTCCAAGGGTTTTAGGACCTTTTTGTCAGGAATTGGGGTCAAAGATCAAATATTAGCAGAAGCCAGGGGGCAGAGACCAATATCGAAAGTCCCTGATTTACAGTGGTTCAGTTTGCAATTTTTTGACTTTATGGTAATGCAAAAGCAATATGCATTCATTTGAAACCGTACTTAACATTTTGAATTTTGATCTTTTCCCAGGCAAGCAATATGTGGTACCATACTCTCCAGAGAGCCACAGCTCGCATTCAGCCAGGAGACCTGGCTGGTAAATAACCGATACACTTACAGCCTGTACTCTGTACTCAACCGTTCTGTTTTTCACTTTCAGTGTAGTATTCAATAACCTATCAATACATGAGCTAGTCTACGCTTTGTTATAAATTAGGCTTTGTTTTAGATATTTTTTCCAGCTGTAGGCAATGTAAGCGTTCTGAGCACATTTAGGCGTGCTAGGCTAAGTTACAACATTTAGTAAGTTAGGTGTATTAAATGAGTTTTCAACTTACAATATTTTCAACTTAGGATGGGTTTATTGGGATGTAACCCCATTGTAAGCTGAGGAAGATCTTTAGGTATATTTCTTATTATTTCACACTATCTTACATTAAACAGTCAATTGTCTTTTAAAGAAATGAAGAACCACAAAGAAAAATTATTTTATATTTACCATTTCTGAACCTCTTCATTCCATCTGGTATATTCCTTCTGCTACAGAGCTTTTTAAGACTTTTTTATATCCATGTCAGCTGACAACAAATTATCCTAACTTCTTTCTCCTAAAAAAAACAATAAAACAAAAAGACCAAAAACCTTTATTTTTGCTTCATTGTTTTTTTTTTTTTAAACAAGGCAGGTAAGGAGAATATTTTTTAAATATGTATGTATTTATTTATTTATTTATTTATTATTTTATTTATTTATTTTGTCTGTGCCGGGTCTTAGTTGCTGCACACGGGATCTTCATTGAGGCATGCAGATTTCTTAGTTGCGGCCTTCGAACTCTTAGTTGCGGTGTGCATGCGGGATCTAGTTCCCCAACCAGGGATCAAACCTGGGTCCCCTGCATTGGGAGTGTGGAGTCTTACCCACTGGACCACCAGGGAAGCCCCTTTTGCTTCATTTTGAATGGGTCGTTTCACTGGACATAGAATCATAAGTTGACAGATTTTTTTTGTTCTTTCAGCATGTTAATGATGTTCTATTGTCTCTTGGCATATTTAGGTTCCATGGACATTCTTATCTTTGTTTCTCTGTATGAAATGTATCATTTTTCTCTGTCTGCTTTTAAGATTTTGTCTGTATCTCTGGTTTTTGGCAATTTCATTATCATGAGGCTTGCTATGATTTTCTTTGTGTTTACCCTGCTTGTGGGTTTTTGAGCTTCTTGAAGCTGTGGATTTACAATTTTCATGAAATTTGCATGATTTCCAGCAATCTTATGTCAACTACGTTTTCTGTTCCTGTCATTCTCCCTCTGTCTCCTGGCACTCCAATCACATGTATTTTAGACCACTTGATATTGTCCCATAGGTCATTGAGGTTCTATTCATTTTTTCAGTCTCTTTCTCTGTGCTTCATTTTAGATAGTTTTTATTTTATTGCTATTATTTAATTTCACTGAATATTTTCCTCTGCAGTATTTAGTCTGTTGTTAAACTGATCCAGTGAAATTTTCATTTCAGATTTTGTAGTTTTCATCTTCATAGGTTCCATTTGGTTCTTTTAAAAATATTTTTTGTTTCTGTCCTTATTCTGTTCATGTTTTCTTTTTAAATTCTTGAGCACATTTAGAATAACTCTTTTTAAATCTTTGTCTGCTAATTTCATCATTTCTGAGTCTGCTTTTCTTGATTGATTTTTCTCTTGATTATCAGACTCATTGTCCTGCATTTTTGTGTATCTAGTAACTGTTTACTGGCTGCTAGATTTTGTAAATATTACATTTTAGAGTGTCTAGATTTTGTTTCCTCATTTCAAGAGTGTTATATAGGCATTAAAGAATATTTGGCAGGCAGTAGAGTAACTCGCAGATCAATTTGTTTCTTACAAGGCTAGTTTTTAAGCTTATTCAGTTATGTCTGTAATGACCTTTACTCTAGAGCTAATTTATCCCTGTTACTCAAGTGCGATTCTTCTGTCGTCTCCACTCTAATGCCCCCAACGTTTGCTCTACCCTATTTGGGTAAAACTTGAACATTTTCCAGTCTTGTGAAAGCTTTAGAGATTATTTACCCTATAACTTTCCAGCAGTTGTTGGCCCAACCTCATGCAATTTCTCTCTATGCATCTATGCTATAATTTATCATTAAGCAATAGACTGAAGTTGCCTTTTTTTTTTTTTTTTTTGCAGTACGTGGGCCTCTCACTGTTGTGGCCTCTCCCGTTGCGGAGCACAGGCTCCGGACGCGCAGGCTCAGCGGCCATGGCTCACGGGCCCAGCCGCTCCACGGCATGTGGGATCTTCCCGGACCGGGGCACGAACCTGTGTCCCCTGCATCGGCAGGCAGACTCTCAACCACTGCGCCACCAGGGAGGCCCCTCAAGTTGACTTTTATGCTTATTTCTGAAGTCTGTTTTCTACATAGCTCCTTCCTCTCAAGTACTCTTCCCCACATATTCCAACTGCCTCAGCCCACTCAAACGGTGACCTTTGTCTTCTCAACTCAATGAATCTGCTATGCTCTGTTTAGGTTCCTCCTACCTGCACTGTGTTCTGGAAAGTGCCTGTAGGCAGAAAGCTACTGTGATTGTAGGGCTTACCTCGTGTAAGCTCTGTTCCCACCTTTATCACAGTTCTGTACTGCCTCTTGTCCAGTGTCTGGAAACAGCTGCTTCATATATTTCATCCTGACTTCTAGTGCTTTGTGGTGGGAGATCAATCCCAGAATCAGTCACTCCATTATAGCCAGAGTAGAACAATGCTGCAAATTTTTTAAGCTTGCAAATGAAAAGTAAACTAGAATGAATGGTTCTATGATGGAAGAGAGTAAAGGGGAAGAGATTCAGGGGTAACTATTTAACTTTATATAACTTTGCCAGAAGTTTAAGAAACGCATTATATCTGGGAACATTTTCTCCTCAATTTCAAAATAAAATTCAGTGGAAACATTAAATTTATTTTTGACAGAAAAAGTTTCAAATTTAGGTTATTATACTTCCTCCATAAAATGACGGTTGATCAGGCAGTTTTACTAATATTGCAGTATTGTTCGTTGGGATCAATGATGATGAGGAAGCAATGGCTGCTGCTTCATCGTCTGGGAGAGGCAGCTGATGATGACGACGACATTTATTTAAGCTCCTGCAATGAACCAGGCACTGTGTTAGGCTTTTATATTGATTATGTTTACTCTCTACAACAGTTCTGCAAGTTAGACGTCATGATCCCCAGAAACTGAGGAGGTGAAGTTAGTTCCTCAAGCTCACACACTAAGAAGGGAATACTCAGTGACTAAAGTACTCGGTGGTGATTTAGTGGCTGGGGCTGGGAAACAGTCTCAGCTCCCCACTAACAATGCCTCCACCGTTATCGTGCAGCTCCTGATTTTCTCTTCACCTGAGCGTTCCCATCTGGCAAATTCAAGTGGAAAACAGTTAACTCTCTCCCCAGAGAGGCTGTGTTATTATATAGATGTTTTGCATTATTTTGCTTTGAATAACAGCATATGTAAATGTGTTCCTGGAGGTTAAAATTACCCTTAATTTTTCAAACTTGGCCTCTCCCACTGGGGTGAATAGTTGAAAATTACGGGGGAGAAAAGGCAGGCTGGAGAGAATGCTAGTCGGCTTGGAATTGCCTTTCCTCCTCCCTCCCCACCCAACACGTTTCTCTTTAGATAGAAGCTGATGCGGCAGAGTAAAGATCAGTAAATCTCCTATCATGGAGTCCTAGCTGGTTCTGATATCCAGTGTTCAGGGTGCGTTAATCCAGATATTAATCATTAACTCTGCATCAGGTTGATGTGTAGGGGCAGATGTTCTTGCTGAGAAGAATAAAAGTCTCCTGTGGCACCTGGAACACTTTATCACACGTGGTCCCCAGTCAGATCACAAAGAGATCTGAGCGAACACAGGCACTTTGCTGCCTCTAACCATCTACCTCTTGTTCAGGGGTTGGCATCTCCCCTCGACTTCAGCTCTCCCGTGGGCCCTGAATTGTTGAGCCCTCCCTATCTTAAACCGCCTTTCCTGGCATTTGAATCATCACTTCGATGATGTGATAATATCTGCAAGTTGGGAAAATAAAATTGGCATTTGTTTAGCCATAATTAATGAAATATTTATGTTGCATGAGACTATGTGATAAAACCTTAGGCTTAGAGTCCTTTTGCTTCTGATTACATTTGGGATTTTTTTTTTTTTTCTATGACCAGACATTCTGACGCCAGCCCTTTTACACTGAGCAGATGTCATGTAGTAAAAATGGGTGCCAGATGCTGTGAGCCGCAGAAGGGCGATTTGTTTAAGAGCTGGCTCCGACTTTTTTGCATTCAATTACTCTGCAGAACAAACCTTACACAAGCATTTAGGTAACTCAGCTAACTTCAGACATGAATTTTACTAATAGATTTCATCTCTGAATGCATTCCTAGCAACACACCATACAAATGGTGTTTAAGGAATTAATTGATTTCTGCATAATACCTTTTTTTTTTTTTCACATGAAAAGAGAGCTGCAAAGCTCTTGGCAGGGACCCAGAAATGTAATTAACGTAGAGGGCCAAATTTTCAGTTGCCCTTAGGTGCTGCCGCCTCACGCTCATGGCAGGTGCAGTGAGGGGAGGGCAGGGAGGAAGAGAATGGGGGTAGCAGGGCGGAAGGAGAGGTGGCTTTGGGTCATGACACAGAAGAAGCTAGGAGTTCAGTGAGTTCTTCTGTTCCCATTTCAGGTCCCAAGCACGTCCCCATCAGAGCACAGGTGACAGGGACTGCCTCTTCCACCTCTTCCACCACCACCTCCTCTGCAGATGAAGAATTCGATCCTCAGCCTTCCTTGCGGTCAAAGGTAACAACACTTGGCAAACCAAAGGGGGCCTTGGCTTGCGGGGGCCGTTTACGATCCAGATTTCAGACCCAATGTGGGCTCCAGCTGCAGCGGTTTCATTAGGAGGATCACATTTCATTGCATCTGACAGCAACCGCTCTTTTTACCTGGAACACCCTAAGAATTACCTTTTTATATATATTTTTTAACTTTTAGGAACTTGCCTTTCTCAGAGATGTCAAAGTGGGAAGGGGGAAAAAGCAGAAATATTTACTTGAAACCATTTGGTGACTGCAGCTCTTAAAGTGGTGATCCAACAAGCAAACCATCGAAAAAATTAAAACAAGCAGATGTGTATTTCCCTAGGGGTAGCACAGCTTCATTTAAGAAGCACTAGAGGCAGATTGCATGGAAAACGTTATGTTTATTCTAATCAGAAATACGAAATGAACCATGCAGTTGCATCTAGGCTCTGAGGATCCCCACTGACTAGCCGTGTGCTGGCGGGGGAATGGCAGTTCTTCTCTCTGCTTAATGAACATTCATTTCTGGAGAACCCTTTAAATAACTCCCATACCCATGGATTAAAAAACACAAACGTCATTGTATGTCTTTAAATGTGTCTGTATGTTACATACACGGAGACACGCATCCCATGACCAAATCCCACCATTGTTTTCTTTATCCTCTGGGGCTGGAAGAGCTGAATGGCTGGACATCATATGCTTCCGGGGCAGACAGAAGCCGTTCACTGCTTTGGCGGTGTTTATTTTTTGGAGCAGTAAGGATCTGCGGAGAAAGAGAGAGAACCAAATTTGTTTACTTAAACTCAACTTTTCCATGTCTAGCGCTAGGAGCTTTGGCATCATCTCAAGTCATTCAGGGGTTCCAGCTCCCCACGGCCCACCTTGGAGCAAGTAAGTCAGGAGGGAGCTGGGACATGCTGGGGAGAGAGAGAATGAGAACAAGAGAATACGTAGAGATTTCTGATTTCTAACCGTGGGTGGCCATGATTAGTTAGACACTCAGTACCAATGAATTCTATGTGTCGTGTTGATTTCTGGGATTTCCTTACAGACCCTCTCACCCCCTTGAGTGACCCTGAGTTAATTCTGTATTCAAATGAGGCAGAAGCCCCAGCATCAGCCATTCTGCCACTCATGGGGACCAAAAGAATGGAGTGGCTGAAAGCCATCGAAATGGCAAGACCATGATACCTAGGGCAAGCCTTGCGAATAGCTCCTTGTCTCCTGCTGGACCAGAACAGAGCCAGTCATCACATCAACCTGCAGTGTGGTAAACCTTGCCCGCTTCACCTGGCTTCCAACACGGCCCACTCTTCAGGCAGGGAAGCTGGCAAAAAGGTTCCTTCTTTATGACTTCCCAAGGGCTCACACTGAGGGAACGAGGGAAGTGTTTTCCTTTCTAGTTTCTTTATCTCTTCTGCCCCATACAGGTGTGTCCCCAGCCACATGGCACAGAGCCCACTCAGCTCAAGTGAACCTTTGCAAAGGAAACTGGAGACAGGATATGCAGCCTCGCCTCTTTGCTTTGCCCCCTCCCCTCAAGTTAATGCCTGGATCTGAGAGAGGGAGACAGGCAGCTTGTCTTCAGTCCTGCCAGATTTCTCCCTTTCTCCGTCCTTCATCTTTTTCTTCCTTAGCCCTTAGACGTTTTCCTTTCTTCTCTGCATCGTCATCACCATTACTGAGGATGTGAGAACCGTGCCTGGTGCAATGTAAGGCTATATGAGCGTTTGTTAATAAATCACCCTTCTTTTCTTCTATGTCCACATCTTTTAATAAAAGGCAGTAAAGGACTTTCTTTCCCTGTCTAGGTTCTGCTTTGCTGACTCTTGATAAAGCAGTTGGGGTTTGGCAGCTTTGCTGCTGGGAAGTGCTAAGACAGTGCAATGCTGTCAAGGCATCCCTCACCGAAATTGTTTGAATGGTCTTAATTTAGGGGGAAAGTTTGATATTTCTATAAAGCAGAGGTCCTTGATGCATCTGCACCGAATTTGGCACAGGAAAGGCAGAATAAACTAGATAGAAATGTGGACACTGGATTCAGGTTACCTGGGCTTAGCTCCTGGCCCTACCAATTCCTGATTGTGTCGTCTTGGGCAAGTTATTTAACTTCTCTGAGCTTTGATTTCCTTATCTGTGAAATAAGTGTAATTTGTGGAATAAATAAAATGATGCGTGTGAAGTAATCAGTACAGTGTCTGGCACATAGCACTCAAAAAGTGCTGGCAATTATTATGTAGATTAGTATAGTGGAAGCTCAAGAGATATTTGTTAATAAATACCACCACACCCCTCCCCACCCAGCCTTCCCAGAAAGGTCCTGGCTGCTTAAAGGAGGGGTTCCCTCACCCAAATGGCCTGGAATCTCTGCAGTGGTTGACAGTCAATCTGGAAGTTGTCCTCTAGCAATAGAGATGTGATATAGAATAAGTTTGAGTTCTGAGAGCCAAAATTTCCTTCCAAGGATGAAAGAAAGGATGAAGATCTTTAGGATTCTACATCCTACAGAGAATTTTAGGAAAACCAACTTTTGTCATTGAGCTAAATGTTTTCACCAATGATCTGTAAACATTCTGAGCCCTGAAAGCTAGATGCTTTCCTAAGGAGAGTGATGGAATGGGTGGCAGAATGCCAAGGATCCATAAAGCCCTGGAAAGGCACTTGCTTTTAAGGTAAAATCTCTGACCTCTACTATGGACCTGGAGTCAGGCCTGTTAGGTCTATTCCCCACTTGTGGATTTATAGTCCTTTTAATGGGCAAACATTCAGCTCAACCAGAGCTACTGAATGCCCAGGCACCAGGCTAGATGTAACAAGTTTTTAATTCCATATTTATTTCTGCCAGCATTAGAAAGAAGTCTCTCACATGTTCTCATTCTCATCCTAGTATAGAAAATTGATGTGTATGCTCTGAGAAGGCAAACATAATAAAACCGGCCCAAGTTGGACATTTATTTTGTATATGTAAGATGTATACATACATACATTATACATACTACATACATACACACACATATGAAAAATAGTAGATTTTAGTAAGAAATTATAATCATGCTGATTTGTGTAATAATAATATTATAATCATACTGGTAACGGTAAAAATCATAGTATTTACTGAATATCTATCCCACATCTTTTTTAAGTATTACGCAAAGGACTTGACCCACCTTATCCCATTTAATCCTTATCACATCCCTACAAGGTAGGCATTAAATCACTCTCATCACTCTGAAGAGGACGCTGAAGTTCAGGAAGTTGTATGACATACCGAAGCTCACACAGCTCAGCTGGGGTTTGAATGCCAGCTTTGCATGGCTCCTGGGCCCAGTGCTCAAACGTTATTCTCTGCGGCTTCTCCCATCATTAGAGTCTCCCGAAACTTGCAACATGTGGAGCTGGCCACACCACTACTGCTCCTTTCTCTGCTGTCTAAAACCTGGAAGAGACACCGTCAAGATCTGGACAGCTATTTTAAATGCCTCAATTTTGAATGTTCTGTATTCTACTAGCCCAGGCACACAGAGAACCCAGTGGTATTAATGGCGTGTTTGTACAAGCAAAGTGAAGTAGGGAAGGCAATCTTATGCCTAGATACAGAGCATTTCCATCACTGCAGGAAGTTCTGTTGACATCGTTGTTCTAGAAGCTAAGCAGTGGTTTGGTTGGAGAGGGCAGAGTCTGTGACAGTATTTTGTACATTTCAATTGCATTTTTCAAGACATATTTTTTTCTTCTTGGTTTTTGTAGGAGAGGAAGACGCTAAGAAGAAGAAGGAAGCTAGAAAACGCAACAAAACAATTGGTTAAGCAAGAAGAATTGAAAAGACTTCACAAAGCTCAGGTCAGAAAACAAACTTGAGCTGAGTGAGTGGGTCTGGGATCCTGGGGATCTGGATGTGGAAGCCTTTGGAAATCTGTACTGCGCTGGGGAAAGATAGGTCTCTCTTCTCTGAGCAACCGGGCTTGTGGCTATTCTACAGGCTCTGACTCAATCCCTGGTAGGACTCTGGGGCCTGGAGGGCCCAGGTGTTGAGTTGGCCCACTCCCAGCTCTGCCTTTGCATCTGCAGACGCGGGTCCTGCAAAGTGAGCTGGAACAGCAGCCAACACACGGCCTTGGGAACAATCCCAGGCCCTTAGTGCCACGCACGAGTGGCCTTAGTTTTGTCCTCTGTGAGGACACAACCTTCCCCTGACTTTCTGACAGTGTCTTTGCTGAGCTGACAACTACTGGGGCTGGCTCTATTCCAAGGTTAGTTGAACACACAAGCATCTAGCATTCTGCTACAGATTCCCTGGCCTGATTGTTTACTCCAAACATTTCTGCCCACGTTGATCTGCCCACCTGCAAAATGAAGCAGGAAGTCAAGACACACCCCCTCTCCCTGAGGACCCCAAACCTAGCCTTGAGGAACTAGTTGGGTTTTAGGACAGAAGGACTTAAAATGACCACTGACGTTAATGCAGCGTGTACCCTACATCCCTTCTTCCGGTTGTTTGCTTTATCAGGCCGGGTAGTCCTGTAATTTGTTTCTGACGAAAGCAGGAAGTCACTTACTCTAGCCTCCTTTACTCTTCTCAGTGACTGACTTGGGAGCCACCCCCTTCACCTGGTGGATGGGAAAAATCCCCATAAATTCCCTCTGTCCATTCTCAACTTCTGAAACAGGCTTTCTTGAAACATTTCAACTTGTCCTTCTGAGAACATGAGAAGTCTTTACGAAATGGATTGGCAAACTCAGCAATTGCCCCTCCTTCTATTTTTACTCCAGACAGTAGGCAGTGATAACAGAAGATTTACGATGGCCTTTTGAGGCCTAATCTGCTAGCACCCATACCAGTCCTGTATAATCTTTGAGATTTTCATCCTTAGTTTCTAAAGAATGACCACCATATCAATCAGCCTGAGCTGCCATAATGACATACCACAGACTGAGTGGCTTAAACCACAGAAATTTATTCTTTCACAGTCCTGGAGGCTGGAAGTCCAAGATCAAGGTACCTGCAGCATTGGTTTCTGGTGAGGACTCTCTTCCTGGCTTGTAGACAGCTGCGTTCTTGCTGTGTCTTCACATGACCTTTTCTTCTGTGTGCATTTAGAGAAAGAGATAAAGAGAGGGAATTTCGGTATCTTTTCCTTTTCTTAGAAGGACACTAGTCCTGTTGGATTAGGGCCCACTGGTATGACCTCACTTAACCTTATTTACCTCCTTAAGGGCCCTATCTCCAAACACAGTCTCGTTAGGGATTAGGACATCAACATATGAATTTGGCAGGGGTGGGCACTACTCAGTCCATAACAATTATAGAGCCATAATTGCAAAGTAATCAGTAACAAAGTCATTTAAATGTTTCCCTTCCTTTAGCAATTCTACACAGTGCCAGCAAGAGACAGATCTATAAAGGTATAATTGTCTTTAAAAGAGAGACAGAGAGGAAGAGGGCATAAAATTACAAGTAGTTTTAGATAGAATTCCCATCTATTTCAGATTTTATGTTCGGGGCTTAAACACTCTCAGCTGAGACAAGAAGCCAGGTGGCTGCTCCGTCCTCACCCCTCCCCACTGCTACCCTTGCTTGGGCCTCTTCACGGGTTGCAGATGCCTCAGCGATTGTACTTTGAATCCAGGGGAGACTTAGAAGGATGTGGAGTTAAGGAGGAAGAGGTGTGAGACAGAGCTAGAGGAAGGTAGGAAAGGAAGAACACACACATTCTACCTGCCCAGACAGCTGCCACTTCCTTGAACACACCTGGTCTGCCAGGTGCAAAGTCTGTCCTGTCAAGAGATGTGCCTTTTGGCAGCGTGTGTTTGAAAGCAGAGAAAATGGACGGGGATGAACAGAATGTACAGAGGAAAGGTTTTCCCTTCATTTTCCTTCCTAATATACAAGCGAGAAATAGCTGGTAGGGAAAATAAACATGTAAAGGCAAACGCAGTCATGATCCCAAGCCTTGCTAGGTGCTTTGATGGTTAGGTTAAGGTTATGGAGGGGGTGCCTTAATGGGATAAACATTTCTGTCTCGTCTTAATAAAGTGCTAGTAATAAGCCACAGTGCACTTCCACAGACAATAAAGAGCCCCCGTGGTGCAGTGAAAGAATAGGTTGCCGATTTGTAGCTGAGGACAGGAGCAGGACAAACCAGGAGAGGAACACCCAGAGCCCCAGGAGCTGGCCCGCGTCTGCTGCTCCAGAACAGCTTCTTGGGAGGTGTCTGCTGGTTCTTCTTGGGAGAAGAAACGTGCCCTGTGTTTGCCCCCGGAGACCCTGCCCTACTCTGGGTAGGGACTGTAGCTCTGATGGCTATGCCGTCACCATGGTCAGAGGCCGAGGCTCCGAGGAGTCCAGGAACTACGAGGACCACCCACCAGCGCAGCAGCCTCTGCCTGAGAGCGTGTCTGCGTGACTGGCCTGGTCAAAGGGGAGTGTTTTAATGTATTCTTGGGGGCAAATTGAGCTTACACACAGACTCCTTGCTTTATGTTTTCATACTTAAAGAAAGGAAATGTCAAGTTCTAGTTATTTGGGGAATTCATGGGTTCTTATACAGTGAATTGAGGAGGTGGCATCACGAGGGAAAGGGCTTCTTCCTCCTGGAAAGTAGGTTGCAGAATTGGCGCCCTCGCATGACTCTGCACGTTTAAAGTACCTGCGTGACGTATGATCCTGGCATTGCAGGCCATCCAGAGGCAGCTGGAAGAGGTGGAGGAGTGGCAGAGGGCTTCCGAGATCCAGGGCGTGAGGCTAGAGAAGGCGCTGAGAGGAGAAGCAGGTAGGCATCCCTGCGGGCGGATCTGGAGAAGCGGGCTCGGGCCCGTGTCTCTGGTCTGAAAACAGTGCCGGTCTAACCATCTGGGCCAAACAGTGAGACCTTGTCACCCGCTGTGGAACTGTCAACACGGACCTGCGGTGCTCAATCCACAACGGCTTCCCACTTTCAAAATCAAACTTGTTGTCCAGTTTGAAATTCCCAGGGCATCAGTGAGCCTGTGGGCCTTGGTTCTGGTCTGTCCAGTCTCTCTTCTGCTAGTGTGAATGTTCTTTGCAATTCAGGGATTAAGATAAATTCAGGAGAAACAGTTGGGTGTTCAAGCAATGTTGGTAGTGATTCAAAGCCTGGACTTGGAGTCAAAGTCTTGGTTTCTCCCTTTACCACCTGTAGCTCACTTTATCAGCTGTAGGGCCTTGGGCCAGTCACGTTCTAAACCTTTATGAACTTTCGTTTTCTCCTCTGAAATTTGGATAATAGTTGTTTCCTATTGTAGAGCTGAAATAACAATTAAAGGATATATATATATATATATATATATATATATATATATATACACATGATGAAATATATATATGATGAAATTAAATTAGCACATTACCTGGCACAAGGTAAAGCAATAAATAGTAACTGTTCTACTGGTAGCTTCAGATTCTTAGATGCAAACAGAATTCATCTGGTGAAGGTCTGCTTTGTATTGGACATTAAGACAGTAGGTCTCTAACGATAAGTATGACATTTCCTGCCTTTGAGAAGTTTATGGTCCATTGAGGGACACAGACATGTGAATAAACCACAACACAGGGGGACGAGGGCTGTGATGGGAACAAGCATTAGGGTGGAATGAGGACAGAATCACGAGGTTCCTAACTGATCTCTATGGGGAAGGGGGGGGGTGGTCAGGCTAATCACCTGGAGGGGGTGATCTGTTAAGACAAGAACTGGAGAAGAAACAGGAGGTTACCAGGGAGGTGAGGAGACCATTCTGGCAGAGGGAAGAGCACCTGCAGAGACCAAAAGTAAAAAGACGTGAAATGCCATAACGAATAAGGAACCAGCAGAGAGTTTTGAGTGAGGAATGAAACTGAAAGAAATCTATGTGTTTGTGGAAACCATCCAGCAGTGGTGTTGCTAGTGAATTGGGGTCAATGGGGAGTATTGTCTCTTTTATAAAATTGAAGCCCCGTTGATTTACAATATTGTGTTAGTTTCAGGTATACAGCAAAGAGATTCAGTGATATATATATGTATGTATATTGGGGGTATTGTCTCTTTAATTTCTGATGTGATGTCTTTAGTCTTTTGTATTTGGGATATAAAATGTGAGAAAGCAGACCCTGAAAACACATATCTCTGTTTGTGGTCATGTAAACAACATAGGGAAAGGTTAGGGCTTCAGTTCTCCTAAAAGTTCAGTTATTCGAGAATAATGGTACCAGCAGGGGCAGACCCAGATTTTGTGAGGCCCGAAGCTCATACAAAGTCATGCAGGCAAACCTGTGGGGCAGCTCCCAGAGCCCTGTAAGGGCCGGTCCACGTGAGAGGCCCTGTGGTTTCAGCTTCTGTAGCTGTGTAGTTATTGTCTCTCTGGAAGTGTCGGAGTCTGACTTTACCCCTCTGTGCCTCAGCTTCTGTGTTTCTGAAGTGGGAGTGATAATTATACTTGTTCCTTGGATTTGTGATGAGGATTGGCTAAAACAATGTATGTGGGAGCCCTAGCACAGTGCCTGGCATGGGAGAGAATGTTAATAAATATTTGTTCCTTTTCTTACAATACTCGGTGCATTTCCTTGCAAAGAGAACCCAAATCCACCCATCAGAAGTAGGGTTCTTAACAAAAGTGGTAACTGTTTCTCACTGCTTGGAGTCCCTGCCTACCTGTACAGCCATTGTCAGGGCTTTCAACACAATGAAATGTTTGATCATATTCCCAATCAAGAAGGCTTGGCACTTGTCTTTGGGAGTCCGCTGACTTCAGTGAGAGCCTTAGAAGTGAAAAGGATAAACCAGCAAAGCTAGGACATGTTTCATTTTGCTGGGGAGGCAGTATGGCATGGTAGGGTTAGTAAAATTGTAAGCGTCAAGGAGCCCTGTGTTCAAATTCTGTTCCACTGCATTTAGGCTGTGTGGTTTTCGGAGAATCACTTAACCTCTCTGCTCCCAGATTCCTTATGTGAAAAATGGAGCTCATAATCCTCACATTACCAGGTCATTTTGAGAATTAAGTGTATTGGTGGACCAAGAGTCTCCCAAGAGTGCCTACCACATTTTAGGCATTTAATAAATGGCTACTGATACTATTTTACAAAATGTTAAATATCCATTCACACTTTTTAAAGAATTGACTCTCTGATCTTTATTCCTTGAAATTTAAAGTCTGGAAACCAAATTTTTAAAGCTTCTGAAAATCTCCCTCACCCTCAGTATAAAAAAAGGCTATTTACAGTTATCAGCTAAAGAAACTCAGCCAGCTTATGGTGTTTTCAAAGGTGTATTTGGCTGGCCAGAAGATGGATTCTGTTCATTCCCTCTATATCCTTGGTAATGTAATTCCCCTGTTAAGTTTATGGGCCTTTTTCTCCTTGATTGTCCTTATGTGGGTGACAGATGCAGATTAACAAGGGGCAGGAGACTGAAAGAGTCAAGTCACAGAGAGCTGCCCCAAAGGAAACCAAACAGATCTGCAAACCAGGCATTGAAATTAATACACTCGAACTTGTAATAACATTTGTGCAATAATAATATTCCTTTGCAGTTTAATATTCTACTCAGCCCCTTTAAGAGCTTGCCCTGGTGCTTAATGAATGACCGATGCTTATTAGGTTAAGTTGTATTTGAGCTGGCCTGGGCTGCTCTGGTTCAAGTGATTTAATGGGAATTATTTAATAAGTATTATTAGGATAATTAGAAAATGATCACAGTTAGGCAATAATATTGAACTATAAAGGTTGTGAATAACCAGATTTAGAGACAGGCCTGAAAACATGAGTCGTCTGCGACAGTTATACAAGTCTCCTCTGATAATGATGTGCGCCAGCCTGAAAGGGTCTTTTGTTCCTAGGAGTTATTCATTAGGCGAGCATTGAATTAGAGGAACACGCGGGGGTGCAGGACGGAGGGCAGTGATGGCTGATGAGCAAAATGAGGCTTTGATGAGCTCCCAATTGTCGTGACAACAATTCCTGCTTTCTCTTTTTCCAACAGTCAGAAATAAGCTCTCCTACCCCCAGGAAGGGTTTTTCCCCGTTTTGTCAAGGCAAGGGAAACAAAGAAAAACTAAAGTCCAACAATCCACCCCAGATGACAAGTCATTATGTTCTGTAGGGGGTGTGTGTGTGTGTGTGTGTGTGTGTGTGTGTGTGTGTGAGAGAGAGAGAGAGAGAGAGAGAGAGAGATGGACGTCCTTGACAAAGGAAATGGATTCTCCTGATGGTCCTAGCTGCCCAGAGTAAAGGACCATGATATGCAGCGGCCTGATTGCTCTGAGCCTCACCGTCTATGAAGAGGTCAAGTCGAGCTTTGCAGCCACTTAGACGCTTCTTGGTTACCTTCTGCTTTTGTTGGTTGGCAGTGTAGTGGTCAGTGTTATGTGCAATGGAACACCACAGTTTAGCAAGAGACCACCATTCAAATTTAGTAGATAACAGAATCTGTGCTTTCTTTCAATACCTGGAGACAGGTAAAATCTGGTGAAAACTGAGATCAGCTTTGAGGGAGAAAAGATTAGTCCCCAGGGGAATGTAACACAATATTCCTCCCTTATAGCTTTACCAACTTTGAGGATGGTTTACCAGTTGATTGCCTGCATCCCTGCCTTGAGCTTCTTGCTTTTTTTGTGTTAGAACCCGATGGCTTTTCCTTCACACAGATAAGGGGTTTACAGAGAAATAGCAGGGTGTCGGAGGCTGCCAGCAGGTGGCAGCAGGAGCACACATTATGACAAGAGACACTGCAATGAACCGTAGGCAGGAAGAGGGAAGTAGTTTGGCTTACACTCTGTGGTTTTTATCTTTGCTGCTGAGGAACAGAAGAAACAATAATTTCCTGGATAATAAAGCAACAAGGTGCCCTGAAAATAGCACAGATATTAGAATGAGACACTCCTCTGAGTTTGAATACTGATGCCATTCGTGGACAAAGACTCTGAAGTTGGTAGCTAAGCAACCAAGGAATTTGGATGGATTTGCTACACTCTATGTGCTGAAAGTAAACAGTGATATTCAGTGCATCAGAGCAAGGGAGTTTTTACTCACAACACAGCAAACAGCAGGAGCAGCAGTGTGGTACAAGTTTCCCTGTATCTAAATGCCAGGGTGTAGCCTGATAGGCCCTGATGGCAGCTGTGCACACAGTGGATTGTGCCAGAGTAGAGGAACTCAGCAGCTTTTATGGCAAGCAGTAAATAAGCCAGCCCCCTTTCCCAGGAAGCAAGTAGTCTACTTGGCTGGCTGCAGGAGTGGCTCAGGGACACAGGATGGTTAGGCCTTGCTATTTGGCACGCTCAGCAAAGACATGCAGGGATGCTCAAGGTTTATGACAGATTACCTCACTCAACAAACATCAATAATCCATTTATTATGTATTTACCTCTGTTTTTAGCCTCAGTAGCCACCTGGTCGAGCAGTGGCCTTATGACAGAGATGGGCCCAGTGAGGGCGAGACTAAGATTCTCTTCCTGAAGAAGCCTTGGGTCCTCTCTCCATTGCGTGGATTCTAGGGTCATTGAGGCTTCAAAGCTGTGTGCCCCAGACAATTGCTTTACACAAAAAAATTCCCGTGACAGCAGCAAGAAATATGTTTTATATCACAAGTTAGTACATATGAATATATAATTGAATAAAAATGTTTCAAGAGATAATATTGAATTTTGCTACATATAAAAGACTACTACTTTCTATTCTGTCTCATTTTTAGTGCTTGTTGTGACCCATAAAATTAATTTTGCAACCCTCGGTTTTAAAAAACACTGTCGTAATAATTTTACCTGAAAAAAATATTTTAAA